AGTTGTGCGATGTTTTTATAAGGTGTGGTTATCATAATGCCTATCCACATACATGTGGAGCATGGCAAGTTTGGAAAAAAAACAATATCAGAATGTGTATGAACAATGTCTCAGCTCGCATGTGCCCGCCGCACCTCTACGTGTGTTGGATTTTTGGAACGTCAGGCTCGCCCCACTCTAACGACACCAGGTGCATGATGCTTATACACAAGATGCATCCATACAACCGAGGATATGTCCCTTTGTATCTACATACATCTCTCATCTCGGTTACACAGCAGAATCTCTCGAGCCGCTACAGGATCGGAGAAGACAATGACAATTAGATGCCCTGAACTTTTTGTGCCTCGTATTCCTCCAAATCCAATTGAACAAAAAGTTCTCCACTATGGCCTTCAGAATAAGCAATTTATTTACTCAATGATATATATAATCTGATCTCTCATTATATTGTAACGGTTTCCTCCAAGAAGAGGAATTAATCCTCTTCATCTCTACTGAAGGGGAAGTTGTGCGATGTTTCTATAACGTGTGGTCATCATAATGCCTATCCATATACATGTGGAGCATGGCAAGTTTGGAAAAAAAAACAATATCAGAATGCGTATGAGCAATGTCTCAGCTCGCACGTGCCCGCCGGACCCCTACGTGCCCTTACGTGCGAAAAGGAATCGTGCAAGTTGGTGGGTGCATGCAACTGAAGAGAATCACACAGCACCGAAGGCCATCTATCTCATCCCCATCTTTCTACACAAGGATTCAAGGGAAGGTGGTTGCAGAGAATCTGGTATAAATTGACCAGCTGCATTATAGAAAATTTCTCTATTTTTGTTGTGTCTAGAGACAGTAGTGAGTATTCATTTGGTCTTTGTTCGCGTTAGGGATCCTCTCCGGATCCTTTTCCATCTAATCCACTTAGTTCGGAATTCGGGCTGTTCAAATTTGATCCAACAGCTACAAACAGGAGGTCCTTTAAAAGTGATAATAACGGTAACCGTTGAACAGCCTGGATCTGAACTAGGTGAATTAGGTCGAAGGGGATCTGAAGAGGATCCCTTTCCTTGCGTCAAATCTTCACTACCTGGAAAGAAATGGTGCATAGGCCATCCACGTCACATACTAATTTCACCACTCAATTATATCTAGTAAACTAATTAATTCACTTCACTCATGTGCAAAAGACATATACGTACACTGCTCTCGCAAAAACATCTGCAACTTGTTCAGTCTAATAGTTATAGAACATGCTAGTCTTTATCATAAAAAAGTAGCATTTTTCTATTAGGGCATCTAAGTAAAGACCATGTTCCTTTGGATGTTCTTGTTGTTCAAAGGAAGCATGCAGTCCACACCTACTGCTGTCCCTATAAATAGTCCAGCATGAGAGCTCAAATATTCAAACAACCTTAAGCCCTCAAACAATTCTCTCTCTAGCTAGCCTATCTAATTCTCTTCTAATTCCAAAACCCAATCCAACCATTGGATCGAGTTCAGTCCGAATTCGATCTGAAGGTTTTGATCAAGTCTTAAGTAAACAAGCAGTCTTAGGTAAAACTTTGCCATATTTCCATTCAAGGCAAAGGTTTGCCATATTGGGAAGATATTCGTGATCAAACGAGTTTTCCTAAGATGGAGAAAGTAATGAGGTTGGCATCCGAGAAGGGTGTGGTGATTTTTAGCAAGAGCTCATGTTGCCTGTGTTATGCAGTCAAGATTCTATTCCAAGAGATTGGGGTGAGTCCTGTGCTTCATGAGATTGACCAAGATCCCGAAGGCCGGGAAATGGAGAAGGCTCTTGCAAGGCTGGGGTGTACTGCGCCTGTGCCCGCAGTGTTCATAGGTGGAAACCTCATTGGATCAACCAACGAAGTCATGTCCCTCCACCTAAAAGGCCAGCTGATCCCACAGCTGAAACCTTACCAGCAGCAGACTTAACAGCAGCAGACTTAATTTGTCTTAATTAATTAACTACTCAAATATCGTGCTGAAAAAAAATAAATAAACTGGTTCAAATTAGTACTGTAGTGAGCTTCGTATTCAAAAAGTTTATGTAGTGCTTTCTTGTTTTTTTCCGCAAAATACTTATGTAGTGTTTCACGTGTCTTATATTCTGTAAGATTTGATCAGCTATAGCTTGTAATCTAGCCATCTGTTTCCTATTTTTAATGAAGTAGTTTTATACGTCTTGGTGCACCATTATTTAAACACCATCGTGTACAGTGAAAGCGCTCACATGCACCCAAATTTGAATCCTTTTCTCCATTAGAGCAATTTAGAATATATACGGTGCTGTTAGAAGAAAAATTATATCTAGTCTAAATATTGCAGTAATGCAGACTGCAGAAATAAAATACAAAGAAAGAATGAAAAGCTCTCTTTCTACAACTTGAAACCAAAATTTAAGTGACTGACCTCTAACTAATTAGTTTATTGAACATGATTAAGAAATATTCTTTCTTCTTCTGCCATTTTTGCCTCCAGTCAACCTACATATAGAATATCCTGTGAACAAAGTATACTACCTTGAAAATTCTCTGATAATATCTACAGTACATTAATTAACTCGCTTTCATACCGTATGGTAGTGACTTTTAATTACCTTTTCAAATTTATTTCAAGTAAAATGAGATTCTTTTTTCTGAACTTGTGATAAACAAACTGAATACACACTTTGTTTAACATTATAAGATCAGATCGATGCATGCAACAGAAAATTTGAAGCAATGCAGATAAATTGAACTTGCTGAACATCGCCCAAAATTCAGAGCTTGTAGTGGGAGACAAATTAATAAAATCTGACTTTTGCAATCCAATCTTGCCTTCCCTCATATGGGAAGGGTATAAAGAAAAGAAGAAGAGGTCTATTTTTCTAAGCATAGATTCTTCAACTTTATGACAGATAAAGAAAGTTATTGCATTCTTTACTTTTACCCACTTCGGTTCCTTTTATTTTATTCTCTTCTTGCTCCTTTCCCTCCAACGATAGACTTGCGTTTGGCAGTCAGTGTCATCAACCTATATCATTCTTGTAATGGAAATAACAGTTTCCACATATTATTAGTGCGGGAGCAAGATAGCATTCGCATCTCTGAGATATACATACATACATACATATATATATTCCTTTTCGGAGTCACTGTCTCAGACATATCCTTCTCATAGAGAAAATATTTATGACAATTAGTAATGCAACTTATACATACAACTAGTACTATTCTGACATTCGAATTCCAGTAACTTGGAAGGTGCAGGGAAAATTTACGAAGAATATGATGGTAATTATCATATAGCCAAACGATGAATAAGATATTTGGGAGCATCTAGCCCAAAACTAATTGATGGGTGGAGAGCTCTAAGATATTGCGTGACAATGAGGACATGTGAGCATCGGGCTCAACACGTGAATAGTATGCTCTAGTATACCATATTAGAATGTGAGCATCTAACTCAATTGAAAGTGAATGGACCTGGAGATTAGATATACTATAAACTATTATGCAAGGTTTTGATTTCCCGACATAATACTAGGGGTTTAGTATTAGGGTTTTTAGGATTCACATGCACTATGGCGTATCTGCGATGGGGATGAGGTTTAATGCATATATATGTTAAATACAAAGACATCTACTTTGTGGAGTGAATGGTCCCCCCTCTCTATGTCATTTTGCAGGTTAGACTCCCAGTTGCAATGGTCCTAGCCCTAGACATCTCTAACAATTTCAACTCCTAGGATCAATATGCATATATGTAGAGAAATTGAACGAAATTATACTGGAATAAAGTACTCCGTGAAGATTCCCCAATGGAGTGAGACATGCACATGACTGTAAAATCATTTGAGTGACTGCCGAGTGGTGGCTGCCCCAGAAAATCACTCTGGACCAAAGATTCATTGTTGCCTTTTGATGATCAATCACCGTCAATCTTAATCTGGAAAATTCAAAAGAAAACGGTATTATTGTTTTTAATTGGAAGCAAGTAGAAATTAGGGCAGACATGAATTTGCCGCACCTGGACTTTGGTGATGCAACGGTATCTAGGGTTTGCAGCCATGGCCTGCAGAATCCAATTCAAAACGCATTTATGGTCGGTTGTTTTAGGGTTTCGAATCAGTTGAATACCCCTAAGCTGTCACCGTTAAAATATGTTCTTTTAGTACATTAGGGTTTATAAGCGTAAACCAGGAAAGTACCGGACTAGAGCAACTTGTAAAAGCAACTTACATGAAACGGGTTTGCACTTGACCTAATTAAATAATACAATGTTATGTGTTAGAAACATAACACATGCCATTATTTTATTGGAAAGGAAACAGTGGTGATGAATCATTCCATATAAGTCTTTATCATGACTTGCACACATGGTCAAGCCAATAGTCAGATTCTAATATCATATCAAAGTAGGGCTATCAAGTTCAACGATCACGTATATATGCTCTCTCACGTAAAAATTAATGCCATGCATGAGAGAATGTGTTGAGAGGATTCGATATTGGAGAGAGATCTTGCTACTTAAAAAATATCTTAGATGTCTCCATCCATCGATCTCCAATTAATTTTGTTTGAAGAAACACTTTGGACCAGATGCCTCAAGGATTGTCAAAAAGAATAGGCCTCTATTGTTAAAACAATTTTAATGTGGCGATGACTAATTTATGTGTTATAATGCTATAGACGACAACTGTCTTAATACTAAAATTAACATAATAATGATTTTAATAATGAATTTTCTTAAAAAATGAGAACAACAAGTGGCAAGCCACATAAATACTTGGTAAAATCATATCGGTGTGGTCCATATGAGCTACCCTGAGCACTACCCCACACGAGCGTTGCCCGGTTAAAGTAATCTGAAGTAACTAATAGTAACGAACTCGTGTCCTAGACCATTTCTCAAACCTAAGGACCTCCTCCTAACCAATCACGACACGACACGTCACTATCCTTAAAACCAAACGAGGGGTATATTAGTCATTCGGGGCTGTCCTATCTGCAGATCACAGCTAGAAATCGTTTACAGTTTCATTCTTTTCGTTCCAGAATTGATTCTCTTACCTCCTGTTTGGTTGCCGAGAAAATGAACGATTACGACGGAAAATGTGAGATTTCTCGGATCTTTAATTTGCTGTTGTTACAACAAGCTTGACCCTACGAATGTGAAAACTTTATTCTCATGCTTGATAATTTCGACAATCACTGTAATGGAGATTTCTGCTTGGAATTTTATTTATTTTATTCGCAATTAATTAAACAGATTTGCATGCTAGGATTTATTTGGTACAAGATCAAGGCACGGATCGCACATTTTCTTTTAACTTTTTTTATAGTCAGATTGCATTTCGGAACTTGCGTTGCGAATTTTATGAATATTTATGAGATGAATAGATTCGGCATTATATCATCGTGTGCAGAGATATTGATTCGATCGAGCAATTGAAGCACTTGGGTCATATGAGGTTCTTACTTGGTTGGATTGGTCCCCAAGCCCTTGATTCGGATGTACAGATTTTTCCAGTTCTTTCAAAGAATCGATCGTCATTTGCTGAATTCACAGAGGTAAGAATCGTGTTTTCTCCACAAAATTTTGGTTTTCGTTTAAACTACTATGCATTGTTGAGTCTTGAATTGAAAAATAGACAATTTGGATCGTTGAAACACAATGTTGAGTGAGTGGAGGTCATAAATAGTCCCAATTAAGGAATTGGGGAATCTGACTTTTCATTTACACTATGCATTCTTTGAGTCTTGAGTTAAAAAGATAAACTGTTTCAAAAAAAGATAAACCGTTTAGATTGTTGAAATATAATTACAGTCCTTGGAAAAGCAATTGGGGGAGTCTGAAGTCTTGAGTTAAAAAGATGAACTGTTTGGATCGTTGAAATACAATGCTGAATGTACGTCATAAATATTCCTCGGAAAAGGAATTGGGGGAGTCTGAATTTTCGTTTACACTGGGCATTCTTGAGTCCTATTTGTTAAAGATTATGAGCATTTTTATTTCTTTTATAGTATTGAATAATCTTTTTCGAAAAAGGGATTTGAAAAATCACAATATTTGATGTTTCTTTTGCTCTGTTTTCTTCAGGTGGATTGGGGGAGGCTGAATTTTACGAGTGGAGGAAGTTGTCGGTTTGGGGTTTCGAGTTTGGGGAAGAACAAAGGAGAAGGGGAGCATATGCTATGGGGCAAAGAGGGGAGTATATAGCACTCAAGTTCCGGATTTACGATGGGACAGATATAGGAATCAATACTTATGCACCATCTATGACAGTATCATCTCTTAAGAAAAGGCTACTTGCTGAGTGGCCTCAAGGTAAGAAATTTGCCACACACCCTCTCTCTCTAATTTGATTATTCTTTGCTCGATAAAATTGGAATTTGATGAATTTGATTGGCTGAACATTGGAATTTGATGAATGATTGGCTGAAATTGGATTTTGATGAACTTGATTTGCTAAAGATTGCATTTTGATGAACATTATTTGCTAAAGATTGGATTTTGACAACTTGATTTGCTAAAGGTTGGATTTTGATGAACTTGGTTTGCTAAAGGTTGGATTTTGATGAACTTTATTTGCTAAAGGTTGGATTTTGATGATGAACTTGATTTGCTAAAAATTGGATTTTGGTGAACTGATCATGCGATGAATAGATGCGTTCATACAAAATTTAGCTGCACTTACCGTGTGTATACATGTTCCGATCACCACAGCAAAAACAGTGACACCGAAGTCAGTAGACGAAGTAAAAATCATACATGGTGGCAAAGTTTTAGAGAATAGCAAGACACTTGCTGATTCCAGAATAACCGCCGGTAACCAGACCGGTGAGGCTGTGATCATGCATGCAGTAGTACAGCCTCTTGTACCCAAAAACAAAAAGACAGGTTAATTTGCTTAAACCCTCCTTTGAATTAAGTTGTTTCATCTCAAATGCAGATTTACGTTGCATTTTTGTTCGTAAAAATGTTGAAGTTCGTATGATCTTCAGATCTTGTATTGTTAGGAAATATTTGGATCTCTGAAATTTCCTGCGTGTTCATGGAGGATGATCAGTGCCTAATTTCTATATGGGATGAGTTTTGTGCAGGAAAAAAACAGAAAGATATGCAAAAGATGAATTCATGCTCCTGCACCCTCCTTTAATCTGGGAAGCAGGCTCTCTGCGGCTTCGATTGCAGCGGATGGATCGCGTTCGGTTTTCTCAATTTTTTGTAATTTTTTCCTTCATATTTGATGCAAGTGCAGTGTGAAAATTTCATTCACATCTGTAGTCATCCAGTTAAAGTTGCCTTTGTTACCTGAAGTTATTGCTCGGCTTGTGTCAAACGCGTGTTACCATTTCACGTGTTATCGTGTGGCAATTTTATCGTGTGGCATTTTGTTATGTGCTTTGACTTAGAATAGTAACATTAGATGACATTGTTTCAAGCACGCCTAAAAGTTACTTATATGAGATTTACCATAATAACCTGTTTACTTGTTTACTTGTTTTCAAGAGTATTGAAATTATTCTAATTCTTTGAATTCTCTCAATTTACTTGCATACTAATAGTTAAAATTTGTCGCCTTCTAGCTTTTCGTGTGTTCACTAATACATATGAATTTCACATAATAATTTGTATTCAATTAAAAACCAAAAATCCAATAAAAAAGAGGTTACCATACCCACTCCGTTACCTCATGTTTCCAACTTTTCTTTTGGTACCAGTGGTACTATACTCTAAACTAATTTAAAGTGCGGAAATGAAATTCGAACTGGGATCCATTGGAAGCGTAGCTATAGCCAATATGAGCATTTTATACCAGCTAAAAATAGTATTGGGCGTGCATGAATTAGGAATGGGTCCAATTCCCAACCGTTTCGATGTCTTCTTCAGATTTATTGACAAGTCAGTAGATAAAAAATAATGCTTGGCTACTGAAAGAAGAACAGTTAATCCTGCTGAAAACCCAATTGAAAATAGACATGTCTATTTGTTTGGAGTGATATTGGTTCGAGTTTTGAATTCTTTAATTATTTGGCCACGTGTTCATTTGTGATTAGTTATTTTTGTCTCACATATATTTGTTCATGCTCTCAGTGCTTTGTATAATCATAGTGTTGATTATTGTTGGTTTTGATGGAAAACATGATTTGGGTTTCGCAATTCATGTTGTTGGTTGTATGCTCCGTTTGCAACACCGAACAACAGATTTGATTTTCACTGTTTGCATCGTGTATTTGAATGGTTTTGAACCTATCTAGTGAGGTTTGTTTTGCTTGCACTGTAATCTGTTTCCAGGTTGCTCAGCTTTGTTCTAACTGCGTTGTTATTATTGCGACATTTGCAAGTTCTTCGATGACGATGTAAGATTATTAGCTTCATTGCAACGAGTGTGGAATTTGTAGTTTAGCCGACTGATCATTATCTGCCTTTTGTTGATTTCTGTTTTTCGTATCATGTCCTTATTTCAAGCCGAACCTGCTGTCGTTGAATTTCGATTATCAAAATTGGTGGTCCGTCTTTCTGTTAAAGGCTTCATGCAGGCAACCAATCATTTTAATGTCCTGCTTAGTTACAAGCCCACGCTATATATTACGCTCGGCGTTCTTTCAATTAACTTAGCCATAGTATACAGACCTTGTGCATCTACAGGCCTTGTAATTGGTTTTCATTGATAAGGGTCTTCGATCATTGCATGCTATTACACATCATTTTTCGGCTAGAAGAAATGGATTTTACGTGCACTGTTTCATCTCCATAGCTCTACTATTACTCTATCGTTCCTAGTTCGAAACATACAGAAATTGTCAACTTGCAATCGCTTTTCTATTTTTCATGTGAATTTTTATACCTGAGTGTAAGCGTATATCTACACTAAACCAGTTTTGTGAACAAATTGAATGCAAAAAGTTTTCACTGCTATTGCTATTTTATTTTTTGCAACGATTGCAACACAACTAGCCATGCCACCTTCCACATTTTTTGGCACAAGTGCATCAACTGCAGTTCATACAACACCAGAGTAATCGATAACCTACAAATCATCAACGACGTTCTGTTAATTAGAAAAGTTAGCGAATATCCAAAGGCTATGTAGTTCAGGTTAGACTCTTTTGGCTATGCTTTCGTCGGTTTTGACTAGAACAGTCCTCTTGTTCCTGTGCCGCTTGTACGCCAAGCGCATGAAAGAATCCACAGCTGCTGTAATTGACTAGGTTTCATCGGTTCATCCAAATCATAACGAATCATTGATTTTTTGTCGAGGGGATAGGAGAACTTTGAATCGCCTGAGCTGAGATAATTTTTCGTGAAATGTCTTCACTGTAATTGCATGTGAGCAGTTTGTCATGCCTGCCTCGTGAAATCTCTTTGCCTTTTGCTGTGTAAACTTTAACCTGTATGAGAGAAGATAGAAGTTTGTCACGTTTGGTTCGTGAATTTCGACCGCCATTCCTTACCCGAGATTATAAGACGCTGTAATGGTAATTTCTCACATCGAACAACTCAATTTATCACATTTATCTTACCCGACTGTATGAATGAATTGAAAACACCACGTAACAATGTGACAGTTAAACTGAAAATTTCACCCTCACACGCGGGTGGCTTGAGGACTTGGGCGACAAGGTACTGAGAATTACCCCCCACCCCATAAGCTAATGAATTGGACCGACATTGGTAGCGAGACGAGGAGTGAATATTGATGATCGACGTTGTGGATTGCGTGTGTGAGTCTTCGACTTTATGATATGTCGACCATTTGTGGACAAAAATGCTCTTGATGAATTGATGAAGAGGACCCCGATTGAAGAGACGTGATATCAACAACACATCATAATATCAAGAAATTATGTATATATAGAGCATAATGTTTGTTATTCAAAAATTGAGATCATATCTTTTGATTCATGATATCATTCATTACATCACCTACCGGTTGTTTTGTATTCAAATTTATAGAGTTTTGCAAAGTTTTTTTTATTGAATAATGTTAGAAAGACTAAATTTGTAAATTAAATTTTGAAAACTAAATGATATGGAAATTGATGATTGATTCATTACTTAAGCGTTGATAAACGTGTTCATTCATATTAGTAATACATTATTTAGTTTGCAAATTTAGTTCTCTAGCATTACTTTTTTTTTAATGTGGTAGAATTTTGTAGATTTTGTAGATTTCTATTGACTTTTAGAAACTCTATAAAATCACGAACTTTTTAATGATAGACTTTACAGATTTTTGAGAGTTTGTGCTAAACTTTTGTTGAGTTCAAAAGAATTTTATAACCTTTTTTATGATAGAATTCTATTGACTATTTAACCTCTTCGTTTTTCTCAATTTTTTTTTTTTTTTTTTAATTGAGAAATCAGATAGGATACTTATGCAACTTTTCAAGTGATGACGAAAATTGCTTGACATGTGAAACAATTCTTAACTCATTAACATTATAATATATATTTTTAATACATATGTTCACTTTTGCCCTTATAGTTTGTTCTATAGCATTTTTGTTTTTGTAGCTTCATTTTGTTAATACCATCATTCCGTCAAATAAACCAAAATTTCTTTGTGTTCAAATGGAGAAATGTGCAAATATTGAAAGAAAAATGAACTTTAGTTGACAAATTGAATTGAAAACGAAACTACAAGAATGGATATACAATAAAACAAACTACAAAAATGAAAGTGAAAAATTAAAAAATTAAGATATAGCAGTTAAGGCACGCGGAGTACCGAATATTTAAAATCACCCAAATTTTTTGGATCTACGTGGACTAGAACTCAAATGAGAGATATATGTACCCCAACAAGATCTTCTTCGGATTCTTTTGGTGAGGATCTTGAAGATCTGTGAATCGTCTTCATTCATCGTACATTGTACGATCAGTTTTTATCAAGTACTATTTGTGTTTAATTTTAAATAAAAATATTTAAAATAATTTCTGATCACACGATGTACGATGAACGAACAGAATTGAAGAATCTTTTGAATTCTTACAAAGAGGATCCAGGTTCATATGTACTCATTATTTTATGATTTTAGTTCAATTTTTTATTAGTTCTTTTTGGAACTTTTTCAAAACTATGACCGTCGACAGACATTGGAGAAATTTTTCCAAGTGACGGGAACACCATGACACGTGGTGTTCCCTCACACATTAGGATTTGACATCTTGAATATCTTTCAATTTTATATTTCAATAAATATAAAAAACTAAATCCTAATGTGTGAGAGAACATCACGTGTCATGGTGTTCCCGTCACTTGGAAAAATTTCTCCATACATTGACTCATTCAGCTCGAAGGTCCCAAAACTTGAAACTCTTAATTCTTATGCTTTTTTATTTATTTATTATTCCCTTTTATTCACAGTCCACATAAATAGGAGAGACGTCACCCTCAAAAGTTGGATTTGAATCCCATCAAAATCCAAATTGTAAGGAAATTAGGAATTCTCACATTTTAGTTATTCATCGTATATTGTGATATTAGAAATTATTTGAATTTAATTATTGAAAATTAAACATAAATAATACGAAAACTGATCGCACGATATACGATAAATAGTTAGAATGTAAGGATCCTTATAATTCTTATAAAGAATATTCGAAGAGAATGCTCATCCCCAAAAGTTTACCTTTTACCTGCATCCTCTGCTATCAAGTATCAAATTGTTCTATATTTTTTTAAGTGTATCGTAAACACGACTCAATGCATAAGTGTGGTAATGCTATCGGCTGGAAACTTGAAGATAAAGAATTTAAAAGAATTGTATTATGATACTTCATGTCCTCCGGCACACTAAAAAAATATCTCCAACTGGCAACTTTCAAATCCAACTTTTATTCTGAGAAAAAACCAGTCATATAATTACTGCAACTGCTAAGTGCTAAGCAAAGTTGAAATTTCACTTTCCAATTGGTTAATCTCTCAGAAAAGCAGCCACAAATTAACAACCCTATTTAATATTCCTTCTTCACCAAGTAACGACAACGTCTCAAAATTTCGAGAAAAAGAGAAGAAGAAAATTCAGATAAAAGGGAAGAACACAAAAAACAGAGATTTATACAGAAATCTGAAAACCGAGAGGCCAGAATAATTTACAGAGGGAGAAATGAATGGAGGGACGAGAAATGAAGAATCTGAAGCGACCCATAAGCGCGTCTGTGATTACTGTGGGACTTCAATGGCGCTGCTGTACTGCAGAGCCGACTCAGCCAAGCTCTGCTTCTCCTGCGACCGCGAGGTCCACTCGGCCAATCAGCTTTTCACAAAGCACACTCGCTCGCTGCTCTGCGACGCATGTGATAAATCCCCTGCCTCCATTTTTTGCACGACGGAGGGCTCTGTTCTGTGCCAGAACTGTGACTGGGAAAGCCATAATCTTACGTCGTCGTCGGCTGCGACGGCGGTGCACGATAGGAGGCCGCTGGAGGGCTTCTCTGGGTGTCCTTGTTTGAGTGAGCTGCTTGCTGTTGTTGGGTTTGAGAATATGGATAAAAAGGCTCTGCTTTTGAGTGATGAGGGTGGTGGTGGCGGCGGCGGCGGCGGCGGAGGTAGTGGGTTCTGGGGATGTGGGGTTGGTGGGGTTGATGGGTTTTCGGATTTGGAAGAAGGGTTTTCGGACTTTCCAGTTTGGGATACTCCCTCTGTTGTTAGTCTTGATGATTTGATTGTTAACAATCCGGCTTACAAATTTCAGGCCATGGGAGTTCCTCCTCTGCCTAAGGTCTGTATTTTAACCTCCTTATCCTTTGTTTTTCTTTCGATAAGACGATATTCTAAACTACTATATTCTATAAAAAATGGGGATTCAACTCGGCACACTACTTAAGCTAACTGGCCTAATTCACGTCTGTGCATTTTTAACAATTTTTATTAATTCTTCTATACCTTTAGAACTAGGATTTCTTGTTGGTGTATGACTATTGAAACCATATATCCGTTACTGCAATTTTGACATGGTTCAGGATATTGTTGTTGAACCAGAATCGCAATGCTGCTTGCGGTCAGCACAAGGAAGAGATACTTAATCAGCTTCGTGTGCTTGTCAAGTCGGAACCCAACTTGTTTGGTGAAGATGTGGATGTTAAGGGATTCCAATCCCTCGCGTCCGAACAAAATCCGCAACCAGGACGTTTCTTCACAGGTTTTGAACATGATGCAGAGCCAACTGCGTTTCCTGCTTATGAGGTGTGAGCCTATTATATTCTGTTGTACTTTTAGTTTGCAGTTGAAAAATAGTTAATTGTATTCCCTCCATGCAGGCCCGTGAATCGCAGTATAATGATTGCGGCAAGACGGAAAATCAAGATTCGTGCCCGAAAACCATGCTAAGGAGCTACCTTCAGGACTGCTGTGTAGTTCCTGACAAACATTCATACAACGATGGCAGTGGAAGTCGTTCTAATGAGGGTCCTGGAGGGGAAATGAAGTCTGGAGCCTCTTCAGCTTTTCCAAAAGTTGTTCCACATTGTCAAAACAGAGAGACCGCTCTCTCGCGGTACAAGGAGAAGAAGAAAACAAGGAGGTACATCATCCCCTTTTCCCGCAAGTATCTCTTCTTGGTTAGAAATTGCCTTTAGACGATTGCGAAAATTGTTTTTAGCCAACGAGATTCGTCAAGTTTTGGGATATGTTTGATTGCAGTAAAGAAAGATTTAGATTTTACATCCTTTTTATGCTCACTTCATGTTTACAACTAAACGTTTGGAACTAATAGGTACTAACACGACAGTCTAGTGGTATTTCTCCCTTCAGAGTAGAATATCGTCGAAACTCAAGTGTTTATCCGGTTAGATTCTAGAGTTGGTTAAAGCATTTTGTAAAGTTTTGTGCTCACTTCATATTGACAACTAGAAGTTCCAACAGCCACCAACACTACGGTCCCCCACTCCAGTAGAATATGGTTGTATCAGAAAGAAAAAGAAATTAGAACCAACACGATATTTGGGTAACTCACAAATATTGCGTTGTAATTGGCATTCCAAAATTTATATTTGGTAATGGAGGCCTTTTCTTTTTGTATTTGAAGACTTGTTGAACCTTTTGTGGGGGATCATCCGACGTTTTGATTGATCGATGGAAAAGTTCAGAATTGGGGGAAGTTATGAGGTTCTTTCATCAATGGTTGGCTTGTCTGTACATTATTTCCATCTAGTGGTTGTTGTGGTGTAACTATAACCTTAACTCAATTATTTATGCACCTCCATTTCTGACCACCATCTTGACATTTATGTTGCTTGGAAACAAAAACCAGGTATGAGAAGCACATCAGATACGAATCGCGGAAGGTTCGAGCAGAAAGTAGGACGAGAATTAAAGGACGTTTCGCGAAGATGGACAGCTGATAGAATGGCAAGAAAATGTGACATTTAGACAAAGACTTCTCTTTCCTCATATTCACGCATTGCCTTCGTCTTCAAACAGCTTTGACATTCAAATCAGATGAGGAGTATATAAAAAGAGTTCGTACTGAGATTGGTTCGGATTAGAAGTTAGAACATTTTGCAAGAGTCGGCAAAACAACTGCTATGCAGTCCCTGAGAAAATTAAGATGCTATTATAGTGATTAAGGATTGTTTATTATTAATCTTGTGTTTAGGTTTTGATGTTGTAGTTTGGATCCTTTGTTTGCTAGTTTCTGAAAAATATAACATCTTGTACTTACTTGTATTAGGCTCCTTTTGCAGTGATCGAATGGGATATTAGAAATGTACAAAGCATCTCATGTTCAAGTTATGTAACTTCAAAGACGTAGGTTATGCTAGTAGGTCAGGACAGTGTGCCTAATCTTGCGCATTTGCTTTGAAATTTATGGATATGTTGGTTTTGGAAAAGTAGAAGTATAAATACCAAAGTGACATAAAATCCAAAGTTGAAGCGTCACCATTGACCAAACACAACTTGCAAACCTAAGTAAAGATAAGTGAGGACGATAAGACGCAGTGGTGGGTGTCTGGTGCTGGAATGTCCCACGTTAGCTAGATAAGGAGATCCATGTGATGTTGTGCTAAGATGAATTCTGTGGTTCTAGTCGGGAAGTTGCCTATGCCTACATCAATAAGGAACGTGCCCATCATCACACCATGAATCTGAAATTCGGTCTTCAGGCGAAAAGGTTTTGGATTCACGGTACTATTGCTGATATGTTGTCTTTTGGAAGAACCAATTGTACAAAGTAACGCGCGAGCTTTGATTTGATAAACGAGTAGTTCGATGGTTTGAGCATGGGTGAGGTTGCCGGGGTAGAAGGGCGGGTCAGCAGAGTCACGGTGGATCAGCCTCACGGTAAAGCCTTTGGTTTTATTCCCAAGTACAAGAGTAGAGTAGTCGTACTCAAAAAACAAGATTGCACATAAAATGTAGAGAAGGCTTATTGGTTTGGCCATGCCACTTATTATATGATCAGTCGGCTTCTATTTATGGGGTTGTTTGTTTGATTAATTCATCTAGCAAAATCATAAGGATTGATGTGAAAATGGAGTGCCGCATGCCGACCACCCTCCTCTTTTTTTTATTCGAACTTGAGACCGATAACGTAAGATAAACTTACACAGGTGGAGTTATACATCTAGCAAAATGCCTAAAGAAAATCTTTAAAGGTTAAAAGTCAATTTAATTAATTATCTAGCAAAATGTTTTTCCCCTTCTTTTCTCCCTTTCTTTAACTTCCAAATCCACAAGCATTTAGCTGTATTAAAACAGAATCAAAGGGTCAATTTTCTTTTTCAAAGAAAGTATGGCTTGAAATGAAGAAATATCTCATACTATCTTAATTATTGAATAAAACTTTTAAGACGTTGTAGGAAAAGTTCTAATTCAAGAGATATCTTCTACGTCTTTTGATATACTCTGGTCTACTGGTATTTTGTTCGCTTGTAATTGAGAGATCTTATGTTTGACGGTATATTGCTTGATTGTTGTTTTGGTGATAATTAAATGCATATTATTCTAAAAACGATTAACTTGATGGTGTCATGCATGAGACACTCAACTCACTTAGATATATGACAAAGTTCTGTGCCAAAATGCAGCTTCCCGTTTGTGCTGTCGTATATGATACGCTGATTTCTTTGTTGGAAGGCTCCTATGAGACAACTTTGGTCTGGGCTCCGGTACATTGCCAGGCAAAAGTATTTGGTTCTGGCGTCCCCGTCTAGTATAAACACATTGCGAGCCGGAACTTGAAGACCCGAACCATCACTGAAAACAAAGGTGAGTGTAGGAAGTTGGAGATAGCCCACGGAGGCAGGTCTCGAATAGCACAGCTCAAGGTTATGCTGACCTGCAATCACATGGTAGTCGTAACCCTTTTGAAGAAAGTAGTTTGTTAAGGCTGTTTTCAGTGCGTTGAAAGCAGCATTGTTAAGTAGCGATATGTCATCGCCTGAGTCTATGATGATTCCGCTGGTGCCTGCCGCCCTGTGAGCGAAAACATCTGGGTGTTGTGCGGAAGCGTCAACCAAGTGTGAGTGAAAAATAAGCCACAATAACTAACAAAAGATAAATGAAACAATACCAACAAGAACACCAAGATTTATACTGGTTCGGCAATGCCTACATCCAGTTTGGAGACGACGGAGTATTCCACTATAATCAATGAGAACATACAATAGTGTTTATCACTCAATTTCCCAAAGACCCGAATAACCCAAACTCTCTCACTTACAATAGGAAGAGAAAACCAAAAATACAAAGCAAGACAATTTGAGAAAATTCTTCTCTATGCCGAATGGCTTCTTGCTATTTTTCTTCTTCCTTTCTTCCTTGGTGCTTCATTTTTTTGAGTTATGCCTACACCTCCTTTTATAGGCCAAAGGCCTCTCATCAAGTCAAAAAGAATTAGGCATAAGTGCATCCAATTTTTGACCACAAATTAGGCATAAGAGCATCCATGTTTTGTTTCACACATGTAGCATGCCAATCACCAATTTTGACCACAAAAGTAGCCAACATTATTTGTTGGTTTTAGACTACTTTCTACTTTGTTTGAGCCAACAATCAACAATCTCCACCTTGGCGCAAACCCTCTAAGTAGAACTTCCAATAGTCGTCCCCCACTCCCCCATGGGGCAATCAACAAATTTTACAAATGCCAATCAAGTCTAAGCAGTGCTTAAACTTGAGCAACTTAAGCCCGATCGTAAATCGATCAAATTGCTTGTACCATTGTCTTGGAGACTGCTTCAAGCCATACAATGATTTTTCCAATTTGCAAACCCAATTTTCCTTTCCAGCAACCTTAAAACCTTCTGGCTGAGACATATAAATCTCTTCCTCCAAATCACCATTTAAGAACGCAGTCTTGACATCAAGTTGGGCCAACTCAAGATCAAACTGCACAACCAAAGCCAACAGAATACGAATAGAAGAATGTTTTACTACAGGAGAAAATACCTCATTGTAGTCAATGCCTTCTTTCTGAGCATAGCCTTTAGCTACCAATCTGGCTTTGAATCTTACATTGTCTTTTCCCAAAGATTCCATCTTTTTGGCATACACCCATTTACAACCAATTTCTTTCTTCCCCTTTGGTAACTGAACCAGCTTCCAAGTCTTATTTTTATGAAGAGATTTCATCTCCTCATCCATAGATTTCTTCCACAACTCGTACTCTGAGCTCATGACAGCTTCTTTGTAGGTGGATGGAATATCATCTTCAATAACGGGAAGTGCATATGCCACAATATCAGTAAATCGAGCAGGCTTTCGAATTTCCCTTCTCGATCTTCTGGTTGCAATATAGTCTTGTTGCTGTGGAGGCTCTTGGGTAGGTGCCTCCTCTTCATCATCCTCGTCCTCATCATCATGATTAACTGTAGGACTATCAGACCTTACTGGAACAACTGGAGTCTTCAGTAACTCCACCTGCTTTGAGTTACTCATGGTCTCGGTCGTTTCAGTTTCACCTTCATGCTTGTTCTGATTAACCATAGCAGCCTCATCAAAGGTCACATCTCTGCTTACAACAAATTTCTTCTCATCTGGACACCAGAGTCGGTATCCTTTCACGCCAGTGCTAAAGCCCATAAATAGAGCTTTCTTTGCTCTTGGATCCAACTTGCTTTCTCTGACATGATAGTAAGCAGGACAACCAAATATGTGTAAGAACTTGTAATCAGTACAAGGTTTACCAGACCATACCTCCATGGGCGTTTTGCCCTCATTCGCAACAGCTGGCAATCGATTAATGAGATGGCTTGCATAAGTAATTGCCTCAGCCCAAAACGCCTTGCCTAATCCAGCATTAGACAACATACACCGAACTTTCTCAAGCAAAGTACGGTTCATGCGCTCCGCCACCCCATTCTGTTGCGGTGTCTCCCTAACCGTGAAGTGCCTCACAATACCCTCATCTTGACAAACTTTCAAGAAAGGATCAGACTTATATTCACCTCCATTGTCTGATCTGAGAGTCTTGATCTTTCGACCGCTTTGCGTTTCAATCATCTTTTTCCACTTCAGGAATATCTTCAAGACTTCATCTTTACGCTTCATGGTGTACACTCATATTCTTCTTGAGAAGTCATCAACAAAGGAGACAAAATAATGGCTACCTCCCCAAGATGCATTCTTGGAAGGTCCCCAAACATCAGTGTGAACATAATCAAGAATGCTTTTAGTGTGGTGAATAGCAGTGCCAAATTTTACTCTAGTTTGCTTACCCAACACACAATGCTCACAGAATTCCAATTTGCATGCCTTTGCACCTTTCAACAAGCCTTGCTTCACCAATCCTTGCAACGCTTTTTCACCAGCATGCCCAAGACGCATATGCCATAACCTCGTGGTGTCTGTGCTATCTGCGTCAGCAGCTTCGGTGACAGCTGCTTCACCAATAACTGTACTTCCTTGCAAGAAATACAAGTTATTTCGTCTTGTACCTTTCATCACCACCAGTGCCCCGTACACAGCTTTAAGAACTCCACCCTTCATGGTGATCTTGAGACCCTTGGATTCCAATGCTCCCATAGAGATAAGGTTTTTCTTCATATCCGGTACATACCGAACATCACTTAATTCTCTGACTGTTCCATCATGCATCTTCAAACAGATTTTGCCTATCCCTCGTGTTTTGCAGGCATTATCATTACCCATCAAAACAACTCCACCATCCAGCTCCTCGAAGCTAGAAAACCATTCTCGAATGGGACACATATGATAAGTGCAACCTGAATCCAAAATCCACTCCTTGGAGTGACCATCAGCAGATGAACTAGCCAAAGCAAACTCGAAATCATCATCTCCAGATTTTGCAATATTTGCTTCAGAACACGCTTTCTCCTTCTCTTTGTTCTTCAATTTGGGGCAGTCTTTCTTCCAATGACCCTTTTGGCGGCAAAAGGCACATTCATCTTTAGCAGGAAACTTCCCTCGTGACTTTGAACGAGATTTTCCCCGCTTCACATATTTTCTTTCCACTATTCGACCCCTTGCAACAAGTGCCTCGGTTTGTGAATTATGAGTCTTTAGTTCATTCTTTCGACATTCATGATTCACCAATGCCGCAGACACTTCATCAAGTTTCACCTCGGATTTTCCATACAACAAAGTAGTTGTCAAATGATCATAATCATCAGGCAATGAATTTAACAAACATAGTGCCTTATCCTCGTCAGGAATTTTCACATCAAGGTTTGCTAAATCAGCAAGTATTTTATTATAATCATTGAGGT